ATATATGTATAAGTTATTCTCTCTTTAAAATTTTGAGATACAGTTTCTTTGAACAGATCAAAATATACACTAAATCACTAGTGTATGGCTTTGATCTAGTCTCCTACCTGATCACATTCTCTCCCTTTTTTTTTTAAATCCTCTTCATTCTTCTTTCAACCAAATTCTTACCTTATCAATTCCTTTACATTATATTCCATCCCTTCATCGAACTTACCCTTATTTTTGTACATACATAAATTTTTCTTTTGTTAACATCTTGGGAGTCACTTTCTTCTAACAGACCAAAATACGCCCAAAATCTAGTGTGTGACACTAAACTATGCACCAGCTTGATCATATTTGATCATATTCTGGTTTTTTTTTTGTTTGTTTTGTTTTGATTTGTTTTATCTTTTTCTTTTTCTTTTTTCATTCTTCCCCTTTATTTTCCCCTGGGTTCAGGTTTCTTCGGATTTGCTTAGAGTATATTTTTCTAGGGTCGTTTTTACCTGTTAGCATTTTGTTCTCTCATTCATTTATTCTCCTCTGGACAAAATGACAAGGCAGAAAAAAATCACCTCAAAAAAAAGAACAAGAGGCAGTACCGACTGCCAGGGACTTGGCCAATATGTACATTAGTAAGATATCAGAACTAGAGTTCAGAATGATGATTTTAAAGATACTAGCTGGGCTTGAATAAAGCATGGAAGATACTAGAGAAATCCTTTCTGGAGAAATAAAAGGACTAAAATCTAACCAAGTCAAAATCAAAAAGGTTATTAATGAGGTGCAATCAAAACTGGAGGCTCTAACTGCTAGGATAAATGAGGCAGAAGAGGGAATTAGTGATATAGAAGACCAAATGATGGAAAATAAAGAAGCTGAGACAAAGAGAGATAAACAACTACTGGATCACGAGGGAAGAATTCAAGAGAGACGTGATACCATAAGTTGAAACAATATTAGAATAACTGGGATCCCAGAAGAAGAAAGAGAGAGAGAGACAGAAGGTATATTGGAGCAAATTATAGCAGAGAACTTCCCTAATTTGGGGAAGGAAACAGACTTCAAAATCCAGGGGACACAGAGAACCCCCCTCAAAATCAATAAAAATAGGTCAACACCCCGACATCTAATAGTAAAACTTATGAGTCTCAGAGAGGAGAGAAAATCCTGAAAGCACCTCAGGATAAGAGATCTGTAACCTACAATGGTAGAAATATTAGATTGGCAACAAACTTATCCACAGAGACCTGGCAGGCCAGAAAGGACTGGCATGATATATTCAGAGCACTAAACAAGACAAATATGCAGCCAGGAATACTATATCTAGCTAGGCTGTCATTGAAAATAGAAGGAGAGATAAAAAGCTTCCAGGACAAACAAAAAATAAAGGAATATGCAAACAGGAAACAAGCCCTACAAAAAATACTGAAAGGGGTCTTCTAAGCAAAGAGAGAGCCTAAAAGTAACATAGACCAGAAAGGAACACAGACAATATACAGTAACAGTCACCTTACAGGCAATACAATGGCACTAAATTCATATCTTTCAATATGTACCCTGAATGTAAATGGGTTAAATGTCCCAATCAAAAGACACAGGCTATCAGATTGGATAAAAAAACAAGACCCATCGATATGGTGTCTGCAAGAGACTCATTTTATACCCAAAGACACCCACAGATTGAAAGTGAGGGGATGGGAAACCATTTACCATGCTAATGGACACCAAAAGAAAGCTGGGTGGCAATCTGTATGTCAGAAAAATTAGAATTTAAACCAAAAACTATAATAAGAGATGAAGAAAGACAGTATATCGTACTAAAGGGTCTATCCAACAAGAAGATCTAACAATGGTAATATACATGCCCCTAACATGGAAGTAGCCAATTATATAAGCCAATTACTAACAAAACCAAAGAAACACATT